GAACACTTAATAACAAATATATTTTCATCTTATCAGCAGGTTTAGTCAGCTAACTTGTCAAAAAACGATGGAAAAAAACATTTTCCTGTGATTGTTAGCTTCCATCGGAAACGTAGCACGACTGTCTAAATATGGCGACTTCTTCCATGTTTCCCTCGTACGTCACTAAACAAAGTTCCCACCCCGTCAATATATATACCAAATGAAAGGTACGGTGATTGGCTACACAGCTGTGGCATCAGAACGAAGCTCGGAGCTGACTGGCTGATTCTACAGTCAATCAAGTCCAGGATGATGGAAACCAGAAGTTGGTCACTTCTCATATATTATTGGCTCTGGACAGCCGATACTTGAACCCAGTTGGTCAAATTAGGTGTCAATCAAAAGAGGAGGGTCTAGACGTCAAGTTTGATGCATTGCACACAGACACAGGATGAACAGAAACACAGAACGACATTTCAAAATAAAACGAATGAAAATTCCGCTTATCTAACCAGGTTTTAATCTCCAGGTTTAAAGTTAAAAGTTAAATCAAAGTTTGTAACATTCACTAAAGGTGAAGGTCATATGATTTAGCCGTCTCTTTGAAGCAAACAGGATTACAAGTCAACTCCTTCCCTGAAACCATCTGCTCTCATTAGTTAAAGTCATTAACATTTCCACCTCTTTACTACATGAAGTCTGTCTGACTGGATAAACAAACATAAAACCTTAAAATCCCTCTGTAAGTTTAAAACTGAATGTTTTCCTGTGCACTTCCCACTTCCTCCTGCATCTTTTTGCTCTTCCTACTTTCTGGCTCTGCTCTGCAACTGCCCCTACGCTTTTCCTTTTTCATAGTTTTCATCAAGTTTCCCTGTAACTTTTGTTAGAAACCTTTGTCCAAGTTTAATGTGCCCAAATACTAGGTTTGATTTAGATAGCAAAGTAAAGTGTTAAACTTTAACTCAACACTCTGTAGAGTGAAATACAGTTTGTGTTTGTTTGCTGTGACAAGGTGCTCAGTAATTACCGTCCCATCTTCCTCTGATCCTTTAGGAAAATACATCTTAAAATCTCCMCAACAATCTGATTTTAGCTGCACAACAAAGTTTAAACCTACTCCTTAAATAACATCTCCAAACATCCTGYTGCCTTAAAATACAKTTTGTTTTGTTTTATGCTTAAAGTAAATTAGTGCTCATCTCTAATTCACATCTTAGAGTTTAATTTGGTTTAATTACATTAGATCTCTTGTCAAGTATTATTGTATCGTTTCATGTCATGTTATTATTATTCTTCTGGTAACACCCTTCTCATAGTTACATATTTGCAATAACAAMTATCTTTCAATAAAAGATACATCAGTGTGTATCAACATCAATTCAACTTGTTTGTCTTAAAATTAATGTGATTTATGCAATAAAAAGAACAATTTTTTAGGGTAAAATACCTTGAGACTAATAGTCTCAAATCAATGATTAATAAAAATTCTTCCTTTAAAGGAAGTGATGCCCCAAAAAATTAAGTAATAGGAAATAAGACTCACATAAATTAGCAATTTGAAAATGTCTCCTACACTTATTTTATTAATTAAAATAATGTATGTTTTACTTTATAGGAAGTTTCTTCTAACCAAGCCSATGCACATGGCTGCTGAAGATACTGGAGTGTGTCAGCTACACAGTATCAACGAGGACACAGTCAGCTCTGGTCATGGATCAAGCTTAGGTATGTTTAAAACATAAGACATATATTATCTGCCTTAATAAAAGGTTTAGACTTAAATCATCTTTTGCTGAGAAGGGACAGAGTTATAGCAGTTTAACATTGTGAATGACTTCATGCACAACCTCAAGCGATAATGGAAGATCTTTCAAAATATATTAGTGATTAGAGTATAACATGGGAAGTACTATTTACTACAGCAACACCAAATTTAAGCTCTATTTTTGTACAGTTCAGTGAAGTAAAGATATTTTGGAGCTGGTTAATGTGAATTAACTGTGGTGGCCATCTAGAATTGGGTTGACTCCAAACGTTAYTGGTTGTATATAAACCATAAGTCGCAAAACGTTTTGGCTTATAGCAACACAATCCCTGGACACCACATGGTGTAGGCCATGCCCATTTCTGTGTAAATATATTTTTTGTACAGTACAAAATTTGCAAAATATCATTGAGTTATGCTTAGACAAATAGCTTAGCTTAAAATTTGCCATATGTTCAAAACAATAGCACATAATCTGTAAATTAGATGGATTTACCAGCRTTTTGCATACAGACCCGTAGGACTGCCTTATAGATCAGTGTTTCCCAAAGTTGGGGTCGGGACCCAAAGTGGGGTCCCGAAACATCAAGGTGGGGTCCTGAAAAGA